TCTGGTTCTCGTCCTCGTAGAGAGCAGAGCTGGGTGCTCAGCCTGGGCACAGGTTTGGGACAAGGGGAGAGAAGCTCCCTGCCGGACGCTCTCAGCCGGCGGTCCAGACCGGATAGGAGGAGGGAGCATGGGTCCACTCGATCCCCCTAGAAGCTCCACACTCCCAGCATCCTCGGGCACATGCCTCTGCCTCTCAGAAGCTCACTCAGACTTGAGCCATGCGTTCCTCTCAGCCCTCCCGCTCAGCCCTCTGCATCGGGCTCCCTAATTCTGGGTGACCAGTAGCAATAAAACGTGTTAATAGCCCCAGTGGAAAGAATGACTGACCAGTGAGCACAATGAGGCCATGATGAGTGCCGGTTTCCTGGCACTCAGTCCGTGGAACAGGGAAGAGAACAAATATTATTGTTACTCTGAGAACTAATCACAGCCTCTGTGTTCACCTCTTCACAAGACAGAGCTGGTGGCCACATGGCTGTGACAGAGCAATGGAGTGTGGGGCCCAGGGATCATGGCCATCACTTAGCTGACTCCCTGCTGCTTGGGAAAAGGGGTGGGGGGAGAATGGTGGCAGAGCCCCCACCTCCCAAATTCTTCCTCTTCAGGATTCACAGCCTGAAGATGCCCCAGCTCTGCCGCGTCCTCACTCCTGTGTACCAGCCGCAGTGCTCCAGGTCCCTTGGAGGGTGCCAGCAGGGCTGTAAGGGGTGAGGACAGGGCACAGGAAGGGTGACAGTGGAGGCTGGGAATGCCAAGTGCAGGGGTCAGTCCTAGAGGACAGACTGAAGGACTGGGGCTGAGTGGAGGAGGAGGAGGGGGGGCCGAGTTGAGATCACACCTGAGCAGGGGTCTCAGTGGGCACGCTGTGCTGGAGTGGGGTCCCTGCCAGCATCACCCGGAATCCCTGCTCTGCACGGCCCATGGCTTCCTCGTCTCGGCCAGTGAGCTCTGCTGCTTGTTGATGGCCGTGTGCTGCATCAGACAGAAGAGCATCCCGTGCCAAGGAGAGTGGCTCAGGGGACGTCACCAGTGAGCAATGAGGGCCCATGAGAGAGCACAGTGTCAGAGCCAAGTTCATGTGCCTGCTGACTGCCCGGCTGGAGGAGCGCTCCCGGAGGCCAGGCCTCGGCCTTGGATGTGGCCCACCCTGCACCCACAGTGGGCTTTATACAAGGGGGGGGGGGGATGAAGGCACGGGAAGCAGAGGAAGGGAATGTGTTCCAGAATAAGGTGGAAAGGGGAAGGGTAGCCTAGACATGTCCATTCATTATTTTGTTCCAAAAAATCACCAAGTGCCTCCCATGCTCATATCGGAGGCCCCGTGGTGCTGCCCAGAGAATGTGCTGCAGTCTATTGAGCAGAGAGGGCAAAGGAGTCAGGCCAGACGGATGTGGATTCTGCCCTTGGTCATCTACACTTTAGCTGGTCACGTGGGCACGCCTGGGCTAGAGGACCCAGCCTCTCCAGGCTGGGAAGAAATCCCGAATACACAGGCGTTCTTGGTCACGAGAGGGACCAGGTGGAGAGTGGATGACTCAGGTCACCATCCCCACTGCGGCTGGGAGTGGACCAGGTGAGGGAGGGGACAGTGGCCGCAGGAGAGCTGAGTGCCCCGAGGGAGTGTGACGGAGAAGCAGAAGAGGGGAGCAGAGCAGAGAGGAGGGGAAGGGCCCACAGGTCCTAGGGCTGCGTGGCTCTGGTGGTCTCTCCACCTCTCCCTGTCACAGAATGAACTCCTTTTCTAGCCGTTTCCTCTCCCTGTTTTTGTCACTCCCTTTTCTTCTGTCTCAGGCCTGAGCCTCAGGTCTACCAGGGCCGGGCCGCAGGCTCCTGCCAGGCAGGCCCCATGAACAAACGCGGAGAGAGCGCGGGAAGACAGCTTCCTCTGTGTGCCTGACGCCTCGCGAGGAGTCCGCAGTCTGCCCTGCCGGGGCCACCGCCTTCACTACAGCGTGGTGTCCGGGGAGAGGGATGGACCTGCTTGGACATTGAAGTTCACCAGGTTGGGTTTGAGTCCTTTCAAAGTCTTTTGCTGCTGAGGGTCCAACCCCAGAGCACCCTGCGGTACTGGGAAGACATGTGGCAGCCAGGCCGTGGTGGTCTGTCCCTGACCGAGCTGTCCCACCCTCTGGCCTCCTGCAGCCTGGTGTCGCGGCCTCCTGCAGTGCTGGGCGCAGCCTTCCCATCGGGCCGCCCACTCTTTGTGCCGACTCAGGCCAGCGCTCCTTCTCAATCTGTCTTCAGCAGCATCAGGCTCCCTGCCCTTCTCCTCCGTCCTCAGGTCCCGGGAAGCCAGACGCCGGCCCCCTTTCTCCGCCCGCCTTCTCTCGATGCTCCTGAGCTCCTGAGGACGGGGACAGTCCCTCTTCCTTCTTGTGGCAGCTTCCAAGGCAGGACCCAGAGGAGCCAGTGCCAGGCGCTGAGCGGGGGACACAGCATAGAGCACAGGGCGCGCGCAGCGACCAGACCTACTTTCTTCTTCAACAGGAGCAGGGGTCCCCCATCTCTCGCCTATGGAAGGCCTGTGCGTTAGGTTTGGTTTTGTCTGGTGGGGTTTGCTGTGGGCCACCCACACTCGCCCGCAGTCCGTCCACTGGGCCGGGCACTCGCTGGCGGGTAGGGGAACTGTCACTGGGACCGCAGTGGTGGTCACCAGCTCCCTGGTGAGCGGCCAGAAGGTGGCCAGGCCGGGGCTGGCACTCAGCCAGTGTCCCTCCCCTGCCCTCCTGGGCCCCATTAGCTTCAGATTTTTGCTGCCTGAGCTGAGAGGGGGCTCATGGCCAGCAGCGCCCAGAGCGGGGCAGGATGGGGTGGAAGGAGTGGGCAGAGTGGGCGGGGGACGGAGTGGGAGGAGGAATGCGGCTGCGCAGCAGGCTGGGGGTGGCGGAGAGCTGGCGACAGGCCCACAGAGACTGCCTCCTCCAGCGCTGCGCGGCCAAGGCCTGCCGGCAAGGGAGGGCCAGCAGGAAGAAAACAAGACACGCTCACACCTGTTTGTGCTAGAAAGGAACACCTTGCAGGCCCCACTGTCCCTCCCCATCTTCCCACACAAGGCTGCTCGCCTGAGTCTTCTCCTGCACACCTTCGTCCCTACTCCCAGTGCCGCCCCCGGGGACACCCTGTGGGGCCTGAGAGTCTAGGGAGGGGACAGTCACGGCCAGGAGGGGCGCAGAGCGGCTGACTAGAAAGGAGCCCCTGTGGGTAGTGTAGGGGACGGAGGGGCAGGGGAGCTAGGCTAGGCCAGCTGGGCTGGAGACTGTGAAGAGCCTGGACTGTGGGGTGAGCTCCCCCCACTGCCCGTGGGGGGTGCAGACTGGACACTGCGGCTCCTTGGCTGAATGTCTGCACCTCTTGTTCCATCTAATCTTCCTGATAATGTCCCATTTGATATTCACTAATACCTGTACGGCAGGCATGGTCTGAAACACCCCACCTGACAGAAGAGGACATGAGGGTCAGGAGAGCTTGCTGAGTCACCACAGCTCAGAGCTGGTCTGGAACTTGAGCCAGGTCATCGGGTTGTAGGCCCCCCCATCAGCCCTCTTCAGGGGAGGCTGTCCCACGCCCTCCCTTCCCCAGCCCCACAGGCTTCCCACCCACTCTCATTTCCTGGCAGGACCTCGGCTGCACTGGAGGGGAGCCGCTGCCCGCATGTGGCCATTTACAGTCTAATTAATGTAAATTAGGTAAAATTAAAAGCTCAGTCCCTCTGGTTAGTTATACTAGCCCATTCCTAGTGCTCAGTAGCCACAGGCTGGTGACTTCTAGCACAGACTGAGGACACTTCGGTCATCGCAGACGTTGGCACCGGCGGCTGGGAGACCAGGTGGGCTCCAGGGAGCGGCGAGGGAGGCAGGGTCTGGGCGAGGAGGCAGGGAGAGGTGGGGGAGGCTAGGGACAACCGCAGAGAGCAGCAGGGCCTGCCTCCCAGGCACCTCCCCCGATACTGATACTCTCGGTAATACCAGTGAGCAATTAAGTGACTGGGGTGGGGCCAGGGCCAAAGCCAGAGGGAGGGGATGCCTGGGAGGAACCACCTCTCCTCGGATCCTGCCACCCTCCAGTGCTGCCTTCCATCCTCCGGGCTCCTGGCCTCTGTTGTCCTACTCATGCTCCTTCCTGTTTGCTCACCCCGGCCCTGGAGCCAGCTGATGGGCGGCTGGGCCACCACCTTCCCAATTAGCCTTATTAGGCTCTGGCTCACCCATGGCATCAGGGTCACAGCTGTGGGGGAGGGGCTGTGAGTGGCCTGTGACTGACTGAGGCCCAGCCAACAGGGGTCCCCAGCCCAGGCCTCTCCCCAGGATGAGGCTCTGGCTTAGCACCCCTCATGCTGTCGCCAGGGGCCCCAGAAGGGAGCGGTTAAGGAGCTGGGTTTCAGAAGGCCGATTCTCCGTTTCTGAGAGGTACAGACTCACTCGCTGATGGAACACTTGAGGGGTGTGTGGCAGGCATGGCGCCTGGCAGGGGGCACAGGAGGGGTGCAGACCCTTATATCTGGAGGAAAGTGTGGATCCCCGGGGGCCGTGGATGGAAACCTGGTTAACCAGGTGGTGGGGGTGCAGAGGGGGCAGATCAAGGACCCAGGTGCAGAAGGGAAGTTGAAATGCTCACATCCGTCTGCAAAGTGGGAGGATGGGGAGCTGGATGGGCCAACATGGGGAAGGAGCCAGGTGACTGGGCCCCAAGGTGAGAGTAGCCACCCCAGAGTGGGTGGCCTTTGCTGGGGCAGAGTGCCCGGTTCCAGGTTGGGCAACAAGGAGCCAGGCAGACCCAGCAGGGCTGTGGCCACCGGTACCCACACCACAGCCACCTCTGCTGCTGAGTAGGCAGATACCCCAACTGATTACTTCAGCTCCTCCTGCCACACCAACTTCCCCTGGGCACTGCCTCCCGCTCCTCCCCTCCCCACAGTGACTCCTGCCCAGAGAATGTCCAGCTCTGCCATAAAGGCCGGGGTGTCCACTAGCTCCCGGCAGTCAGAAGGCCACGAAGTCCAGGATGGGCTCCTCGCGGGGAGCCTGGATGGGGGGTGTGGCATGGCGAGGGGCAATGGTCCTGCTGCTGATTGGTCTCCTCCTGCCAGGTAGGAGACAGGAAGGGGGGCCAAGGAGTGAGGGGTTGGGGGAGGGCTGGGGACTGTGCAGGGGACACCTTGGGGACACCGTGTCTAGGGTCCGGGAGAGCCCAGCAGGGGGAGCATGCTCTGGGCTGCTTCTCACTGCCCTGCCGCCCAGGCAAGTTACTCAAACTTGCTGAGACTCTGAAATACGGTTGGTTACTGATTGTCTGTGAGTCTCAAATGATGCCTGTGACGGTGCTTTGGGAATTCTGCGGTTATATGCACGTTGCTGTCTGGGTTCTGGACGATGAAGATGTGTAACAGTCACAACTACCATATGTAGAGCCTTTCGCGTGCCAGACACTCTTCCAGCATCTTCGACCTTCAGAAAACCGCAGATCTGCTCTCCCCCCTCTGCACTGGGCGCGGGGCTCAGAGTGGGCAGGGCACGTGCTCAAGAGCACATAGAGAAAGCAAACCCGGCTGGGCTGTCGGCTGGGCACTGGCGGTGACCTCCGTGGCCCGTGGTGGGGCAGGCTGCGTGGCGTCGAGGGGAGCAGAGGACAGGGCACGGCTGTGTGGAGAGCCTAGAGGATTTCTCCTAGGAGGGACTGGGACAGCATGGGTGAGTCCTGGCTGCTGGGGCGGGGTCGAGGAGCGGGGCAGTGATGGCGCGGAGCATTGTGCGGAGCATTGCGCGGAAGGTCCTCGAGCCCTCCACACCCACACCGCCCTCAGTGCTCAGTGCCGGGAGGGGCGGAGGGGGGCAGGCCCGGCTCCCGGCTCCCGCAGTGCACACTGAAGCTCAGCGAGGTCAGCTGACTTGCAGTGAGCAGCTCTGTCCCTGCAGGGGGACTGGAGGGGGTGCACTGAGGAGTGGAAAGGGTGGTTCTGTATTTCTAGGGAGACGAAGGCAGGAGCAGCCTGGGGGCGGCAGGGCTCACCGATGCCTGGGCAGGGAGAGAGAAGCTGATGCTGGTCAGGAGCCTCGCAGGAGGTTTCATGGGGTGTCCCTGGGCTGGCCCAGGACCGCAGGGTGGCTTGGGGTGCGGTGCCTGTTGGGCTCTACCGGCAGGTTCTGAAGCAGCAGTGGTCCCTGCACAGGCCGGCCCCACCCGGCTCCGCCGCGTGCACAGTGCTGAGTCGGGAGCAGAGTTTCCATCCTCGCCTAGGCTGGGCCTCTCCCGAGGAAGCTGCTGCCTGTCTGCTTCCTAAGTGCCCTGCCCTCTGCCACCGGCCTCCTCTCCTCTCAGCATCTCTTTTGCTGTTTGTCCTTCCTCAGTAGATCCTCTCTTGTTTCATCTGCACCTTCTCCTCCCATCTGTTCCCAAGGTCTCACCTGGGGTTTCTTCCTCCTGTGTCAGGCTGCTGCCCGTGGTCTCTCTGGAACCAGTCCTACAGGCCGATCGTCCTCCTTCGCCCTCCTGGTGTCTTCCTTCCAGGCCTCCCACTTTGCAGCCTTGTTTTCTTTTCTGACAGGGGCCTGGCCCCTCCCTGCCCTCCCAGACAAGGGAATTACCCTTATTCTGCCATCTCCCTTTCCTTTGGAGACAACAGCCTCTTCCTCCCTTTTCTGCCCACACTCTCTCTGGGCCCTCGCAGGGGTAACTGGAAAGGCAGGTGATGGAGATGGGCCTGAAAGGTGAGGGTGGAAGCCAGGCCTATCGGGCCCTTACTAACCATGACTTTCCTCCCCAGGGACCTTGGCTAAGAGCATTGGGACCTTCTCAGACCCCTGTAAAGACCCTACACGTATCACCTCTCCCAATGACCCCTGTCTCATTGGGAAGGGAGGCTCCAGTGGCTCCGCTTCCAGCTCCGGTGGCTCCAACGGTGGCTCCAGTGGCTCCAGCAGCTCCAGTGGTGGCTCCAGTGTCCCCAGCGGCTCCAGTGGCTCCAGCAGCTCCAGTGGCTCCAGTGGTGGCTCCAGTGTCCCCAGTGGCTCCAGCGGCTCCAGTGGTGGCTCCAGTGTCCCCAGCGGCTCCAGCGGCTCCAGTGGTGGCTCCAGTGGCTCCAGCAGCTCCAGCGGCTCCAGTGGTGGCTCCAGTGTCCCCAGTGGCTCCAGCGGCTCCAGTGGTGGCTCCAGTGTCCCCAGCGGCTCCAGCGGCTCCAGCGGTTCCAGTGGTGGCTCCAGTGTCCCAAGTGGCTCCAGTGTCCCCAGTGGCTCCAGTGGCTCCAGCAGCTCTGGTGGCTCCAGTGTGGCCCAGGGTGGTTCTTCGGGATCTCTGCTGTTTAAGCCAGGGGCGGGGTACTCCCAGAGCAGCTCCTTCTCTGGGTCTGGCTCTAGTCTGCACAGTGTCTCCAGCTCCTCCCAGTTGGGGTCTGGCCCAGCTCGGCCAAACAGTGGTGGTTCTACCCACTTCATGATAAGCTCTTCCCAGTCGGGAGGAAGCTCGAGCTCCTCCGTCTCCCAAAGTTCCTGGGCATCCAGCAGTGGTGGCCAAAGAGTCAACTCTAACTCGCACCCCTGCAGTGCAGATGTCCCCGACTCTCCTTGCAGCGGGGGGCCCATTGTCTCCCACTCAGGCCCCTACATCTCCAGCTCCCACTCCGTGTCTGGGGGTCAAAGGCCAGTGGTGGTGGTAGTGGAGCAGCACGGCTCTGGTGGCCCTGGAGTGGTGCAAGGTGCCCCCTGCAGCAACGGTGGCCTTCCAGGCAAGCCCTGCCCCCCCATCACCTCCATAGAAAAGCCCTACGGTGGCTATGAGGTGGTGGGTGGTTCCTCGAACAGTTATCTGGCCCCGGGCATGACCTACAGCGAGGGCAAAATCTACCCTGTTGGATACTTCACCAAAGATAATCCTGTCAGAGGCTCCCCAGCGGTGCCCTCCTTTGCAGCTGGGCCTCCCATTTCTGAGGGCAAATACTTCTCCGGCAATCCCATTGTGCCCAGCCACAGTGCCTCCAGTGCCATCGTGTTCCAGCCAGTGGGCTCTGGTGGGGTCCAGCTCTGTGTGACCGGCTCCTCACGCACAAGGGGGCCCTGCTCCCCCTCCGGCTCTGGAGTCCACAGCAGCTCCAGTGTTGCCGGTGCTTCTGGGTCACCTTCCCATCCCTGCAGCAGTGTTTCCCAGGGGCCCTGCTCCCCACCAGGCACGGGCTCGCTTAGCCACAGCTCCAGCTCCCAGTCCGGCGGCAAAATCATCCTTCAGCCCTGCGGCAGCATGTCCAGCCCTGCTGGCCACCCTTGCCATTCTGTCTCCTCTTCGACACTGAGCGGAGGTCCCAGTGGCTCTCCCCAAGCCAACCCCTCAGCTGGTGCCCAGCCCTGCGGCGGCTCTGAGATGCCCTGCCGCTCCATCCGGGACATCTTGGCCCAAGTGAAGCCCCTGGGGCCCCAGCTAGCTGACCCCGAAGTCTTCCTGCCCCAAGGACAGTTACGTGACAGTCCATAAGTCACTTCTGTTACATGCATGTGCAACACACACACACACACACACACACACACACACACATGCCCGGGGCCCAGGTATGGGATTAGCCCAGTTTCCTTCCTTGTGCCCAGTGTGGCACATCCCCCGCAGCATGTCTTCCTCCTTCATCTCCCAGATGATGGGCACCAAATCCCTGTCCTCCTCCTCTCCCGCAGCACCTTCCCTGTCCCACAACAATTCCTAGACTTTCCTCTGCCATTTCTTTGAAATGCAACCATCCATTGACTGACCTGCCCATTCAGGTTGTTGACTGGGAAACCCCTAGAATGTCCCAGAGTAACTCTGATGCGAGGACAAGGCGTCCTCTCCGCTCTCCGCTTAATGAATAAACCAGTCTAACGGTTATCTGAAAATTATGGCCACTGTTCATTGACCTCTCTTTGATATGTGGTCAACCACGTGATCTGCCCTGGGCCCTCACACCTGCTGCCCCACCGCCAGCCTCACTCTAGCGCTCGCCACGCATCGGCGCGCTCCAGCGCTCTCCTTGCCTCCCAGGGGCCCCTCTCTGCCCCTTCCTGCTGGCCACGTCCCTCGATCTCACAGGCTTCCCTGGGGGAGGCAGGTGCAGGGCATCCCCAGGGACCTGGGTGGGCACCGTGCTCTCTAGATCCTGGGCAGACATTTCAATAAACCCTGCGAACTACAGGGTGACTTTCTGCCTGGAAGAGCCCTGGATCCTCTTAGGACCTGGGTGGTGATCTCCTAGGCCTCTAGAGGTCTTATGTGTCCCATTTTCATTCATATGTAGTCACGCTGATGCCTACGGCTCCTGCCACAAAGGAGGAAACAATGCCTATGCCTATGAGAGCAGAGGGCCCTCTCCCAGCTCCTGCTCCAGCAAACCCATCCCCCTCTCACTCCCACGGCGCGGTCCTCCCCGTCCCCTTCCACCCCGTCCCTCTGCGACCAGGAGTTGATCTCACCCCAACACGCCACCCCTCTGGGAGTCCTGAGCAAAATGTCCTGGGTTCCAGGACAGTGGGAACCTGCGAAGGCAGGACACCACAACCCAGACCTGCTTCCTGGAGTCTGAGAAGGAGCCAGGCTGGCACTGTTATTGGGGGGGGGGGGGTGAGTAAAGAAAGCAGGGGTGAGAGGTGGTAGCACGCACCAAGCTGGGGCCACACGCTCTGCGGAAAACTGTCCCAGCCCGGGGAAGAGCGAAGAGGGCAGGGCCACCGACCTCTCTATTCTTGCTGACTCGGCCGTGGGGGTGAGACGGGGCCATGACGTGGAGAAGGGGGGTGGGGGGAGAGTGGAGCCGTGGGGGTGAGACGGGGCCATGACGTGGAGAGGGGGGGGGGAGAATGGGGCCGTGGGGGTGAGACGGAGCCATGACGTGGAGAAGGGAGGTGGGGGGAGAGTGGAGCTGTCGGGGTGAGACGGGGCCATGACGTGGAGAAGGGGGGTGGGGGGAGAGTGGAGCCGTGGGGGTGAGACGGAGCCATGACGTGGAGAAGGGGGGGGGGAGTGGAGCCGTGGGGGTGAGACGGGGCCATGACGTGGAGAAGGGGGGTGGGGGAGTGGAGCCGTGGGGGTGAGACGGGGCCATGACGTGGAGAAGGGGGGGGGAGTGGAGCCGTGGGGGTGAGACGGGGCCATGACGTGGAGAAGGGGGGGAGAGTGGAGCCGTGGGGGTGAGACGGGGCCATGACGTGGAGAAGGGGGGGGAGTGGAGCCGTGGGGGTGAGACGGAGCCATGACGTGGAGAAGGGGGGTGGGGGGAGAGTGGAGCCGTCGGGGTGAGACGGGGCCATGACGTGGAGAAGGGAGGTGGGGGGAGAGTGGAGCCGTGGGGGTGAGACGGGGCCATGACGTGGAGAAGGGAGGTGGGGGGAGAGTGGAGCCGTGGGGGTGAGACGGAGCCATGACGTGGAGAAGGGGGGTGGGGGGAGAGTGGAGCCGTGGGGGTGAGACGGGGCCATGACGTGGAGAAGGGGGGGTGGGGGGAGAGTGGAGCCGTGGGGGTGAGACGGGGCCATGACGTGGAGAAGGGGGGTGGGGGGAGAGTGGAGCCGTGGGGGTGAGACGGAGCCATGACGTGGAGAAGGGGGGTGGGGGGAGAGTGGAGCCGTGGGGGTGAGACGGGGCCATGACGTGGAGAAGGGGGGTGGGGGGAGAGTGGAGCCGTGGGGGTGAGACGGGGCCATGACGTGGAGAAGGGGGGTGGGGGGAGAGTGGAGCCGTGGGGGTGAGACGGAGCCATGACGTGGAGAAGGGCGGTGGTGTGGCCATTGAGCATGTCCTCGGTGTAGTCTAGGGGCGATGGGGTCCATAAAGTTGGAAAGTCTCTTAACCCCAGTAGGTTGCTTGTAGCTTTTGGAAGGGCCTCACCCTAAAGCACTGGCTGCCTCTCACTTGCTCTGTTTGGCTGCAGAGGAGTGCACCCTGCTCTACATGTAACCCATGTCCTATTTGGAACCTGTCAGCTGGCTCCCCAGTTTCGTCTATTGGAATTTCAAATTCTGAACCAGCAGAAATGTGTTACGTTGACCAGAAACGATCTGGGGCGCCTGAGCCAACTAGTGGGGTTGACTGAAGATGGGGGAGGCTCCCAAACTGTCCTGGCTTCGTTGGCAGTGCTGACCCCCACTCGGCATCTGGCCCCTGGACCGGCAGGGATGGTGTCGAGGCCGTAGAGGCGACTGGGGAGCGGCCGAGCTCTGATGCACGGCTCAGTCTCATGTCCTCTCGAGGCTTGTGAACCTGGCGGATATCCACCCTCCGCCACCGCCAGTTCCGGGGGGGAGTCCTTCCCTCTGCCAACAACTGGTGAGCAGAAGCTGGGATGAGGATGAACAGTAGAATTAACAGCTGGTGTTTAGACTTCGTGTAATTAGGGAAGCCCGGTCTGGGAGTGCCCCGTAAGCCACAGAAGGAATGAAGGCATTACACTCTTTGTTACAAAACTCCCCAATGCTCTGCAGAGTGGACAGAACAGGCGACCCCACCACCAGTCTTAGCAGTGACCCGCTCACGGCTGTGTGAGAGCAGCATCGGACACCCTCCTCTGCCGTCCGTGGGGAACAACTGCCCTCTCAGTGCTTCTGTGTGCTCTGGGCACCTTGGGACGTCTGTGGTAGGCAGAAGGTGCCCGCACCCCAGCGGTGTCCACAGCCTAAGCCCTGGGCTATGAGCATAGAAGGTAACATCGCAAAGGAGTTAAGGTTGCAGATGGAGGTAAGGCTGTTAGTCAGCAACGTGCAGGTGCAGAGGTTGTCCTGGAGGATTTGGGTGGGCCCAGTGCCAGCCTGAGGCAGCAAAGGTGGGAGAGGGAAGCAGAGGAGGGGAGCGGAGCGGTGCCCGGGAGAGGCCCTGCTGCCTCTGGCACTGGCTGCAGGGAAGGAGCCAGGGCAGGGGCTGCTGGGAGCTGGCAAACACTGCGAATGGGTTCTCCCCTGGAGCCTCCAGAAAGGGAACCAGCCCTGTTGACACCTTGATTTTGTCTCAGTGGGACCTGTGCCGGACTTCTGGTCTTCAACACTGTAAGATAATAACGTGTTGTTGTAAGTCACTGTGTGTGGTTCTCAGTTACAGCAGCAGTAAGGAGTTACTACACCGTCATCTCTCGGGGATGGGAACCAGACCTGTTTCCCTACATACAGCATCTCACCAAGGACAGCCCCTCAAATGGGGGCCACTCTGCACCCCAGAACCTCCTACAGGCTGGAACTAAGGCAAAGGAGCTATGTGGGTGCACAAAAAAGGGGTGCTGGGAGAGAGTGACCTGGATATCAAAGAGGAATAGGAGAGAACCCAGGGTTTCTCTTGTGAGAAAGCAATGGAGCCTCACACTTGCCAGAATGGCCACCATCAAGAAATCATCAAACAACAAGTGTTGGTGAGGGTGTGGAGAAAAGGGGAGTCTAGTACACTGCTGGTGGGAATGCAGACTGGTGCAGCCACTATGGAAAACACTATGATGTTTCCTCAAAAAGTTAAAAATTGAACTGCCATTTGATCCAGTGACCCCACTTCTAGGAATATACCCTAAGAAGCCTGAAACACCAATCAGAAAGAATATATGTACCCCTATGTTCATAGCAGCACTATTCACAATAGCTAAGATCTGGAAACAGCCCAAATGTCCATCAGTAGATGAATGGATAAAAAAGCTGTGGTACATGTACACAATGGAGTACTATGCAGCTGTAAGAAAGAAAGATCTCTTATCCTTTGAGATGACATGGAGGGACCTGGAGAGAATTATGGTAAGCGAAATAAGCCAAGCAGAGAAAGACAAATATCACATGATCTCCCTTATTTGTGGAATACAATAAACGAAACAAGCTGATGAACAAAATAGACCCAGAGACATAGAGAAAGGGTACAGACTGACAAACTTCAGAAGAGGGGGTGTTGAGGGGGAAGAGATACATCACAGAACTTACATGCATGTATGCATGACCAATGTACATAGACCACAAAACTGGGGATGGGGCGGGGGATGGGGAGGAGGGTGTCAATGGGGGAAAAAGGGGGAAACATTTAACAAAAACAAATTAATAAAAAAATTAAAAATTAAAAAAAAGAGAAGGCAGTGAAGAGGTTGGGAGCCCAAGGGCGAAGGCCCCGTGTGCTCAGTGCAGGGAGCCGGGTCAGTAAGGTGCAGGGAGTTTCAGGAAAGGAGCCAGGCAGGAACACCCAGCTGCCCTGGGACATCCAAGTGGCTCCTGTGGCACAAATCACATTAGGAAGGAGGGTGGGAGATGTGGAGTTTGACTGTCTCTGCACCACTGGCCCACTAGCAGGATACAGGCTGGCTGTCTGGGGGCAAAGGAGATGCTGGAGCTGAGCACGAGGCAGGGCCGCGGGGCAGGGCGCCCCCTCCTGGGCTGCCTTCATCTCTCAGGTATGGATGGAGGCTACGCTGGCCCTTGAGCAGAAGGACTGGGGTTCTGGGGAACTGGAATTAAGGGTGGGGTAAAGGCAGGACGGTGCACACTTGGGTGCCTGGGGAAAGTAAGGGTTGGCTTTGGGGAACTGAAGGGACTCAAAGCCAAGGGATCAGGGAGTTAGCGGGGGGCATTAGTGAGCCTCCTCTTCCTTCCCCAAGGCCTCTCTGCCTGGGGCATTGGGGTAGGGGAGGAGAAAGTGCCCCAAGACTTGGGGGACAAACTTGCCTCTGCTTGGACAACCTTTCTTGACCAGCCCCTCCAACCCCAAAACAGGCCCTAGAGCGAATGATTTAGAAGGGTTCTTCAGAGGTTCTGGGGTTCAGAGGTGGCCTCCATCGGGCAGCTGCCTTCTGTGGATTCCTGGCCCTCAGAGGAGCCCTCACAGATCTCGCCGTGTGGGGGACCACGTGGGGGAAGTGCTGCCGCCCTGCCTCTTGGGGCGGCCCCTTGCCTGTGGGGTCCTGGCTCGCTCTGCAGGCCCTCACCGGAGGCTTCACTCCTGCACCAGGACTCAGAGTCTCGACCGGCATCCTGTTCCGACATGCCGGGAGCCCAGGGAGAGTCCTTGCCCACTGCACACCCTGGTCTCATCAGCAGGATTCAACAGCCACTTCTGCCAGGTTGCCCCTTGGGCCCTGAGTCCCAGTGTGTCCTGGGGAGGGGGAGGTCCTGGAACTGCAGAGGAACCAGGCCTATGCCCCACCCTGTGGGAATCTGGGGTGTCAATAACCAATAGCCAATACCTGCTGGAGAAACACTAATCGGTACCCAGGAGGCAGCTGGGGAACTGGTAATCCGTCCAGGTACCAGCTCAGGCTGTGTTCATGGACCCAGGCATTGAAAATCAGTTTCCTCCTGGAGTTCTCCATCCTCCTGGCTCTTCTGGGAACATCCTAGCTGGCTTCCCCCATCCTCAGAATGCTGGGCCACAGTGGGGTAGGAGAAAGACCGGGGGCAGACCTCAGTTGGAAGTCAGAGAAGGGGTCCTGCTCCCTATCCTTGCAGTGTGAGCTAAGTCAAGATTCAATCAGCAAGTTTTCAGCACCTCCTCTACTTTTAACTGTCCCCTGAACCCCATGGTTGGTGTCCCCCTGCTCCCCATGGTCGGTGTCCCCCTGTACCCCATGGTCAGTGTCCCCTGTACCCCATGGTGTGTCCCCCTGCTCCCCATGGTCGGTGTCCCCCTGTACCCCATGGTCAGTGTCCTCCTGTACCCCATGGTCAGTGTCCTCCTGTACCCCATGGTCAGTGTCCTCCTGCTCCCCATGGTCGGTGTCCCCCTGTACCCCATGGTCGGTGTCCCCCTGTACCCCATGGTTAGTGTCCCCCTGCTTCCCATGGTCAGTGTCCCCCTGTACCCCATGGTCAGTGTCCTCCTGCTCCCCATGGTCGGTGTCCCCCTGTACCCCATGGTCAGTGTCCTCCTGCTCCCCATGGTCGGTGTCCCCCTGTATCCCATGGTTAGTGTCCCCCTGCTCCCCATGGTCGGTGTCCCCCTGCACCCCATGGTCAGTGTCCCCCTGCTCCCCATGGTCGGTGTCCCCCTGCTCCCCATGGTCGGTGTCCCCCTGTACCCCATGGTCAGTGTCCCCCTGCTCCCCATGGTCAGTGTCCCCCTGCTCCCCATGGTCAGTGTCCCCCTGTACCCCATGGTCAGTGTCCCCTGTACCCCATGGTGTGTCCCCCTGCTCCCCATGGTCGGTGTCCCCCTGTACCCCATGGTCAGTGTCCTGTACCCCATGGTCAGTGTCCTCCTGTACCCCATGGTCGGTGTTCTCCTGCTCCCCATGGTCGGTGTCCCCCTGTACCACATGGTCGGTGTCCCCCTGTACCCCATGGTTAGTGTCCCCCTGCTTCCCATGGTCAGTGTCCCCCTGTACCCCATGGTCAGTGTCCTCCTGCTCCCCATGGTCGGTGTCCCCCTGTACCCCATGGTCAGTGTCCTCCTGCTCCCCATGGTCGGTGTCCCCCTGTATCCCATGGTTAGTGTCCCCCTGCTCCCCATGGTCGGTGTCCCCCTGCACCCCATGGTCGGTGTCCCCCTGCTCCCCATGGTCGGTGTCCCCCTGCTCCCCATGGTCGGTGTCCCCCTGCTCCCCATGGTCGGTGTCCCCCTGTACCCCATGGTCAGTGTCCCCCTGCTCCCCATGGTCAGTGTCCCCCTGCTCCCCATGGTCGGTGTCCCCCTGCTCTCCATGGTCAGTGTCCCCCTGTACCCCATGGTCAGTGTCCCCCTGCTCCCCATGGTCGGTGTCCCCCTGCTCCCCATGGTCGGTGTCCCCCTGCTCCCCATGGTCGGTGTCCCCCTGTACCCCATGGTCAGTGTCCCCCTGCTCCCCATGGTCAGTGTCCCCCTGCTCCCCATGGTCGGTGTCCCCCTGCTCCCCATGGTCAGTGTCCCCCTGTACCCCATGGTCGGTGTCCTCCTGCTCTCCATGATCAGTGTCCCCCTGCTCCCTCATGATCAGTGTCCCCCTGAACCCCTATGCTGATTGCCAATAAAACACAAGCAGTTATTGAATCTGTCTTTTGCAGTGTCTTTACTTTTAGGTGCAAACTGAAGTGAGTTTTGTCCATCCCCATTTTCCAGCCATCCCCAAGTCTCTCTTGGGGACCTCCACATGGTCCCTTGCTGTCCCCGTCCTTTGCAAAAGATCAAAGCCTAGGTGTTTGCAGGTGGAGCCGCGTGGTCTCAGCTGGTCTCATCGGTCGGGAGAGCTGGTTGCAGAATGGTCCTGGAGTCCGGCAAGGGGAGGGGCAGCAGGTCTAACTGAGATGGTGCCTGTGGCAGGGGCAGGATGAGGACCAGGAAGTCGTTCTCGGGGCCACGTGTTTGACTCACAGAGACACAGAGTCGAGAAAGTTATTTTGTCTGTACTTGTCTTTTCCTCCCCAGGAAGTCATGCTTTTCTGGAGCTGAGGTGTCGCCTCCTCTCCGATGTGCCCCACTTGGTGCGCGGCGCCCAGAGAACCACAGCTGGAGCATCTTCTGCTTTAGTAGCAGCTCTCAACGCCGAGAGAAGGAAAGGGCAAGGAAAACCCCTGAGCTGACAGTCCCACCTGCTGCTACATGTGACACCTTTATTCCCAAGTGAGGACACTCTTCGTTTTGTCACACTGCTGCCTCCGCACTGCCTTGGCCTGCCCAGGCTCACCATCACGGCACAGGCGCTGGAGCGAGGTGGGCGGGAGCCGGCTGGGGGTGGCAGGTCTCTAGAAGGGTGTCTCCGGTGGCCCGTCTTTTTCGTGTTGTGCATGGCCTCACTGACGTGTCCCAGATGTATGCACACCTGATGATCACTCTCGGTCCTAGGAATTGGGCAGGTTGTGGGGGGAAAAGTAGAAGGAAGATAATCACCAGAATGGGAGGCTGAGGAGCTGCCTGCCTGAATGCAAGGGGGTGTTCTCAGGAAAAATTCTTCTGTCCCAGCATCTGCCATGAGGCTCCACCTGCACCAAAAATGCCTTCCTGGGACACCTTCCCATTAACCAGCACTCCAGCTCCCCTGTGGCCCAAGCAGTGAACAGAAACCCACTGAACTGTTACTGCGTACCCATTCTGTGCCAGACCCCAGACAAGGCGCACCCTCCCGACTAACCCCCACAACACTGCTGGCCCATTGCACAGGTGGAGACACTGAGGCCCACACAGGGAAGTGAGCTGAGGCTTGCACAGAGGTGACCCTGAGCTGAGGGGGTCTGGTACTTGGTGCCGTTGGATGGTCCTGGAGTAGCTGTGCTCAGCCCATCAGAGTGGTCTTCCCCTGTCCCAGCATGTTTTAAAAAAAACGATTCCTGACGGGACAGTGATCTGTGATGTAGCAGGGGTCCTAAGGTTTGAGGTGGGAGGTGCTGCTGGTGTGCTGAGCATTCCATGTCTCTTAGTGGCTAACTGGTGGGCATGGTGGCGGCAGTGGGTCACGGCCCCTTTCCTCCTCAGGAGCTCGAGGACAGAGGCTCCCTCCGGGCTGCTCACACATCTTCTCTGCCCTGTCAATTTAGGCAAGTCGCTTCCCTGCGGACCTTAGTTTCCTCACTACTCAGTGGGATGAAGGCAGACGTCCAGCCTGTCTCACAGGGTGGTCAGGAAGTTTGATTAAGGTAATGATAGCCCTGGCTGGTGAGGCTCAGCGGTTAGAGTGTCGGCTCGCAGACCAAGGAGTCGTGGCTTCGATTCCGGTCAAGGGCACATACCTCTGTTGTGATTCGTCCCCGGCCCTGGTTGGGGCCGCGCAGGAGGCAACCAGTCGATGTGTCCCTCTCACATCGATGTTTCTCTCTCTCTCTCCTCCTCCCTCCCGCTCTATCTAATGGTAAATAGAAAAATATCGACTTCTGGTCAAGATGGTGCGTAGGTAAACGGGGTACCACGTCTTCCCACAACCACATCAAAGTTACAGCTAAACTACAGAACAACCATCATTCAGAACCGCCTGACATAAAGCTGAATGGAAGTCCTACAACTACGGAATTAAAGCAGCAGCCACATGGAGACTGGTAGGAGGGGCGGAGGCGGATGGGCTGGTCTCACACCCAACTGTGGTGGATAAAATCAGGAGGACACCTCGGCTGGGAAGGTCTTCCCTGAGGACTGAGGGGTCCCCATCCCACACCAGGTGCCCAGCTCAGGGTTCCAGTGCCAGGAAGAGAATCCCCATCACTTCTGGCTGGAAAAACCAGCGGGAACAGAGGCTCAGGGAGGCTGAGGCGGCTGGAGCCCCAGGCAGCTCCTCTTAAAGGGCCCGCACATGAAATTATTGGACTCACTCCCTCTAAGCTTGGAGGGGAGGCAGCTCGAGGGGTGCCAGAGACATACAGGGAAGAACTGAGCTGTTTGGCACTGGAGTAAGGCCTGGAAAGGGGACTTTCTCCTGGACAAACGTGCTGTCAGAGGCCTTTGTTCCTTTGGTGAGCCCTTCCCTGGGGCAGCAGACAGCCCCCATATCTGGGACTCCAGCAACCTGGCTCACACTGGTAGCCCCGCCCTGGTGATTCCCTGAGGCCCTGCCCCACCCAACTTTCAGGCCCACCCAAGCTGTTGCCACTTGCTTAACCATAGGATTGGCCTGTTTTGGATCCTGCTTCAGGTTTTCCTAAATTCTTTCAAACAAGCAGCATCTGGTCTCAGATAGCCCTATACTTCTCGTTCAGTAATACACAGAAACAAACACAGGGAGGCAGCCATAACGAGGAGACAAAGAAACAGGTCCCAAATGAAAGAACAGAACAAAACCCCAATAAAAGAACTAAGCAAAATGGAGATAAGCAACCTAACAGATGCTGAGTTCAAAACACTGCTTATAAGGATGCTCAATGAACTTAGTGAGAACCTCAGCGAACTTAGGGAGGGCATCAAGAGCATAAAAAAGGACCAGTCAGAAATCATGGATGCACAGTCAGAAATAAAGGAGGCACTAACTGACATAAAGAATAAATTACAAAGACTTCCGGTCAAGGTGGCGGCGTCCTCCCACAACCACATCAAAGTTACAACTACACTACAGAACAACCATCATTCAAAATCACCTGAAATCAAGCTGAATGGAAGTCCTACAACTACGAAATTAAAGCAGCAGCCACATCCAGACTGGTAGGAGGGGCGGCGGCACGAGGGGCAGCGGCGGTGGCTCGATGGGCTGGTCCCACACCCACGTGTGGCGGATAAAAATCAGGACGCTCCCGCGGCTGGGAAGGTCCTTCCAGAGGACTGAGGGGTCCCCGTCCCACACCAGGAGCCCCGCTCAGGGTTCCAGTGCCAGGAAGAGAATCCCCATCACTTCTGGCTGGAAAAACCAGCGGGAACTGAGGCTCAGGGAGGCTAGACTGACAAACCTCAAAGGGAAAGTGGTTGGGGTGGTGGTGGGAAGAAATAAACCAAAGAACTTATCTGCATAACCAATGGACGCAGACAATAGTGTGGGAAAAGGTGGGAGGGGGGCGGGAGTGTGGAGGAGGGGGTCAATAGGGGAAAAATGTGGAACATCTGTAATACATTCAACAATAAAGATAA